TTGATTTCGGATTTGAGAAGAATTTTAACGAGAAAACGGTCATCTTTGGAGAGATGAAACATATGACCAAGTAATCACATACCATCTGTAACTAATCCACCCCTAGAGCTAATTATAACAGAAAAGAGATACAATAAACTCTTAAAATTAGGATTTTAAGAATCCAGAGGATGAAATACATAACGTGTTTAAGGAATCGTATGATTTTGATGAAACTGATGATGAAGAAGAAAAACATACCTTGATCAGCTCTTAAGATTCTATTTTTATCTACTATTTACAAGTCATAGTAGGATCACTTAGAGAATTATTTAATATGATATATTTAGTTATTTACATTAATTATAAACCAATTATAAGTTTGGATTTTATTTTTTTTACTTATAATAAAATCTGCTGACAAAGAATCTAACAAAATCTTACATGAAAATTTAATATTTGTTTTTATAAAATAGCACATTAATAAATTTCGATATTAGTAATATGATCTTATTATAAATCAGTGTTAAGTAATATTTTATTAAAAAAAAAAGTTCTATACTAATTCTTATTAATTCTATAATTATATTCTTTATTATATGAAAATAGCAGTCTATATGAATTCAATACGAAAATTATATTAAATAGATAAACTAAAATTTTATATTTTTGATTTTTTCATTTAAATAAATTATCATATTTTTATTTTATATTTCAGGCATACTTTTCCCCTGGAACCGATTAGATCATATTCACCATCATATATTTGGCGTAGTATGACTTCCGCTAGATCTCTGGTTAGCAAAGTACTAATCAAAATGGTGGTAACAGGGGAATCCATATCTGTATGGAATGATACTTGGCTCCCAACTACTCTCCCGAGACCAGCAAACAATAATCAACAAAATTTTCTTCCGAACCTTATAATGGATTCTCTCATCAACCCAATCTCGCGTACTTGGAAATTACAGGCAATTCGGTCTCTCGTAGATCCTCATGATGTAAAACTCATCCAGAGTATACCTCTAAGTCGGACACATGTGACTGATAGAGAGGGCTGGCATTTTACAAATAATGAAAAATATACGGTGAAATCTGGATACCAGGTGAAGCATATATACCCGGACAAGGAAAGACCACCAGCAATGTACAGACCTACGGTTGATGCTCTTAAGGCATTCTGCTGGAAATTCGATGTCCACCAAAGATCAAACATTTTTTATGGCAAATTGTCTCAGGGTGCATAGCGTTCAAGAAAAATTTAAATAGAAGAGGAATAAAAGGTTATATATGTAGTGCTCGTTGTGGTGACCAAGAGGAATTAATTAACCACATCTTATTTGAATGTCCACCTACGGTGCAAGTGTGGGCACTGTCTAGGATTCCATCAAACCCAGATAATTTCCCTGCACATTCACTCTTCAGGAATGTATATATGTATCATTTGTAATGGAGAGTCTCTCCACCGATGGAGGATCATCAATTCGCTTGGATTTTATTGTATATCTGGAAAAGGAGGAACAACATGACTTTTAGCAACATTGATACTGATCCCAGAGATACCCTCAAGTTGGCGGAAACATAATCACTCTTTTGGGCCGAGGCACAATTGACACTTAATCAACAGATACCCCCAAAGATCAGAGGTTACAACCTTACCAGAGATTCCTATGGTGTTTTATTGATGGGTCATGGAAGGATAAGGAGCTATTTTCATAACAAGGTTGGTATAGTACCCTTGAGGGTTTCGAAGGTTTATTGGGGGCAAGAAATACCCGAGCTAGTCTTTCCCCACTTCACTCTGAGATGGAGGCATTCATTTGGGCAATAGAATGTATTAGGAATTTACGTCAATATCATGTCACATTTGCAACAGATTCTTTTCAATTGGTGAAGATGATTTTGGAATGAGAAAAATGACCAGCATTTACAAGCTATCTAGAAGATCAAGAACCTAAGAGGCAATTTTCACTTGTCTAAGCTTCTCCATATACCTAGAACGATGAACTCAAGAGCGGATAGCCTTGCACGAAATGTTAGGAAACAACTGACCTTCGTCGTCCATATGGATAAAGAGCTCCCCGGTTTGTTTGCAGAGTCAACATAAGTTTGTGTTTTGATGACAAAAAAAAATAAAAACAAATAAATTATCACTCATCATTAAAATATATTAAAATTCCTAAACTATATAATAGCTTTATAGAAAAATAAATGTATTAACATAGGTTGAAATTTTATATCTACAACTATATATTATCTTTTTATTTATTTTAAATTTCTCAAAAATATATTGTTTCAAAAGGTTTATATACAAAAATATAATAATATATAATATTTTAAGTTTATATAATATTTAAAATAAGTTATTAGAAAACTATGAAAGTTTACGAATTCATTTACAATATTAATTACAAATCAAATTTTAATTATAAATTTATTTTTATTTTAATTATAACAAAATCTGTTGAAATATTTTTTTAAAAAATATTACCAAAAATTGAAATATTTTCATAAAATAATATATTAATGTAGTAAAAAAAATCAAAATTCATGTAATGTTTCAAATTCAAAAAAAGTTGTGTAGTTTTCCAAAGTTTTTTTGAAAAAAAATATAAAATTTTGGAAATGAATGTTCAAACTCAAGTTGATAATATTTCAAATTTTAAAAAAGATAAAATCATTGATAATAAATAATATTTTTTGAATTCTAATATTTTTAATCTTAATTTAAAAAAAATAAAACTTAATATAATAACATCAAAAAAGTATCCAATATTAATAAAATTTAGTAAAATCATATGATATATACTACTATGTATAAAATTTACAAAAACAATTAGGGCTATATTATTTAACCAAAGAAATATTTTACTTATAAATCCCGTAAAATACAAAAATGATATATATTAAAAGTATATTTTCTTAAACACAACATGTAAATATAAATTATTTTAATCATATTTATTTTCTATTATACAAATAAATAAAATTTAAATATTTATTATATGAAAAGTATAAATTAAAGAAACACATATTTTAAAGGAGGTTCTCCAATTGATTTTTTCATATTGTTATTTTATTGTACCTAACTCGAAAATATATATTAGTAAGTAATAAAATTTAATAACAAAGTAAATTATATTAAACAAATCCATATATATTAATGATGCCGAATAAGAAATATAAACAATAATATTTTAGAGCTACACATTATATAACACTAAAATATAAATTATAAATTGAAAACCTTGTAATAATATCAAATATATTTATAAAATGGAAATATTTGCACGCACATGCGGGTTAAAATCCAGTTTTAGGTTAAGATCTTGTTTCACCTTTTTCTATTATACCTTTATTTTTTATTTGGGAAAATTGTATTAAAAACTAATTAACATATATTACAGATTTTAATTAACTTAAATTTTGATTAATTAAAGGGTAAAATCGTGTTAACAATATAATTAAAATCCTAAAGGATAAAAATGTAAGACAAAGTCCTATTGTGACAAATTGAAGTTGAGAGTGTTTCATTTTACCAATTTTCCCTTTTTATATTTGAATTTTTTCTCATGGTTAAATGATTAATCCTTTTTGGGCGTGTTCAATTGACAGTGTCTTACTAGCATCAGACTTAGCAATACGGCTAATTCAACACAACTATTTACTTAATGATAATTTCATGTTAGAAACATTATTTTTCCATAAATTTTAGGCCAAATAACTTGTTAATAGCAACAATGAATGGGAGTGTGCTTTACCGGAGGAGATGATTACAAGTAGTCAACAAGTAGCAAACCAAATTGTATGATTCCTGAAACCGGCAATGTATATAGATATTCAAAAACAACATTAAATGTTTTTTTCTCTTTGAGTCATGCATGTTCTGGTATCCTAGTCACATGCTAACAGCGGTGGTGAAATGAACAATAGTATGTCTTTTTAATTATGTCAGTTTCGTTTTAATTGTTAATACATGCATAATAAGTATTTCTTTATGACAAAAAGCATGATTATTGCACAAAAAAAGAAGAAGAAGATCAAGGCTGTGTTTAAAGATAAGTGTGCAAACATGATGAAAATTAGAGAAATTACCTATAATGATTCACATTATACATGTAATTACTATACTAATTCATAAACTTTCTTAATTACTGTAATATATCACGTGGATAACGAAATTACAAAAAAAAACGAGTTTTGCTTTTAGAATTAACAAAATTTCCATTGATTAATTTAATAAAAATATTGTATAATATTTTCCAAAAAAAAAAAAAAACAAAACCCTTTGTGGGGATTTCTCTCCTTCTCCACACAGCGAACCTCCATCTCCCACAAAGTCGTCTCAGTCGCATCCGCCTTACGATTTGTTACCTCCTTCCTACGTCGGTATCGTCCATGTACACGATGAACCCCAACTCCGAACCCTAGCTCCGATTTGGCTTCGTCACATCCACCTCAAATCAAAGAAAATCGAAACTGTAAGTGCTAAATATATTATTTTTGAGGTGAAAGAGATGACGAAGGCCTTGTTCTTATCATATTTTCTTTGATTGCATGTTAAATTTTGATAACCCTAATTCCCAATTTTATTTCCGACAAATTGAGAAACTGGTTCTGTTTTTTATTTAAAATAAAAATCTGTGCTACTTGAAGTTGTTGTTATCATACATGGATTGATTGCAAGTTGAAATTTGAAAACCCTAAATTCCAAATGGGAAATCGATTGGTCTTTTTTTCTTTGTTTGTAGATAAACTTTTCTGATTACTTGATTTTGAAAACCCTATATCAATCCCCTTAGCGGTAAAATTTATCAACCTGATTAATGTGAAATCGAAGAACTCTCACACTCTGTTACTTCACGATTTCAGTTTCTCAATATCACAGAACAAGGACACTTTTGTATTGATTTTGTTATGTTGTATGATTATTATTGTTCCATTTATGATAGTGAATTCTAATTTCTCTTTAATAATCTGACGAATGATATTTATTAAGTTTGTGTTTTTTTTCTAAAGGAATGGCATCATCTTCGGGTAACAGAAAGTATCCTCTACGGCTTTACCAGATTGGTAAAACACCTATTCAAAAAAGGAGCATGAACCAGAGTTGTTTTCTAGCCAACATTCAAATGATGCAAGAGAATATTGGGGAAGACGTTTGGCCTGATTTGAGAGAATCATTTGTAAGAGTTGGATTATACTTGGTCTCCAAAACATATTCATTATTTTCTGTTGAATCAGTTGGTGATTCAGAGCAGTCATGAAGTTTGGTCTTTGATAGAAGACCAGCCAATGATGTTCTCTCTCTGTATGAGTTTGAAGATCTTACAGGTTAAATTGTGATCCCTTTGACACGCAAGAAGAGTGGGATGTGGCTCATGAAGACTTTTGGGTGGAGATGAAAGTTCCAATTTCTGAAGGACCCAAGGTGAATGCCATTTTTCCGATCATTAGAAATTGGCCTAGAGAGAAGCGTGTAATGGTTGGCTTTCTGTGTCTACTATCCATTGGGATATTTGGCATTTCAAGAAATAGTAGAATACCTTTGTATTTAGCAAAAAGGGTGATGGATCCAGCAACTTTCCAGCGCTATCCATGGGGTCGTGTAGGATTTACCAATCTTGTGGATTCCATTAAATTGGTGACATGCGACGAAGGAAAGATGAGTTACACACTACATGGTTGTGTTCGTGCATTGCTATTTTGGATATATGAGTATATGCCAGGTTTAGGAGAGAGATATGGGCATCAGATAGAGGAAGCTGAGGTTCCGCTTCTGTCATGGCATGGTTGTCGTCAGCGTATCAACTTCCAAAACTTCTGTGCACAAGAAAAGAAAAAAATATCAGAAGGTATGATCATTTTCTTTACAATTCTGTCTTATTATTTTACTTACTTAGTATTGTACTTTAAAATGCAGATTCGTGTAAGGCATATTATTGTAAAGAAAATGGAGGATAGATAACTGAAATAGGGCGAAGATAAACTGCTTGATGATTTAGATAACATGATAGTTGGCATCCTTCAGTTAAACGACAAGTTTTGGGATGTAGTGCCACTTACCAAGTGCCAGAAGAGAAAAAATCATGTCAGTGCACCTAATGTTCCTGATAGAGTGGATGAGACCCCCTCCACATAACGAAATGAGAAAAAAACTGCTCCAGATTGCAATCAGAAGCGTTCCTTTGTATTTCCCTTGCAAAAATGTTCCATCAACCACCACAACCTTCCTCATATATGGAAAGCCGGCAATGCTAGCACTGAATGCAAGAAATAAGTACTTAAATCTGTTGTTTGTATCAACTTCCAGTCGAGTTAAAGTCCTTGGATTTGACAATTTAATCATGTGAAGATAAGTAGGTAATTCCTCATATCCACTCTATGGAGAACCCTTTACGAGATCTTTAGCAACTATAAATGTACGATGAGATTTCCAGTAATTAATGTGCATTAAACAATAAACATTAACCCATTTAAAATGAAGTAAAGGCTGGAGAAGAAAGTATATGTGAAGCATAAGTTTATTCAGCCTTGATTCTGAAGCTCATGTTCATAGCACTAGAAACATGATGTGGCACATCAACCCCACCAATATAGACTTTGTACAAGATTCCAAGAATCTCGAGAGTAGCTTGTCGGGAACGAGATGAGTGTTCTGTTACGGAGCATGTATGTTCATCTACGTATACTCGGACTGTAAACTGAGTTACCTATTGGCGTAGATCTTAGCTTCCATGTACATCCTTTTAGCTAAGATTTTACAAAGAGCAGTGTCTGTGTTGATGCAATGACATCAAAATAAACTTGTGGATAACTGAACATATCTTCAGACGTGTCTCCAATGCATCTTTCGAATCGTAACTCTGCCCACATCAATTTTGAACGAACGCAAATTGGACATACTTATTGGAAACTCTCTTTCTTCTGCCTATCTTGCATAAATCATCTTTGTAGAAAATCCATGAACCTCATTAACATGGTTTGGTGGAAGCTCGTATGTAGTAAAGTTTTCATCATCAGATGTTGCTCCATCAGAATCATCGCAGTAATCGAATCGATCACCCTCTTCGTCTTCACACAACGAGTCATCTCCTTGTATGGGTTGTTTCTGATCTTCACCAGCTCCTTCTCCAACAAATTTTTCACTTTAAACTCTACACATATCCAAACATTCTCGACTTTCCAAAGACCCAAGAATGCATGAAATTGCATATTGTTTCCTATTTATACAGGTGGTGTATTGATGCTTTGATTTTGTAGATTCCGCTTAGGAAAAAGGTACCTCAGTTCCGAGTCGTTTTCTGAAAAATCAACTCCATAATTGTTGGGGTCAAAATCGGTACAACGGAATTAATAGCCAAAACTCCCCGCGAAAATACAAAAAGAGTAGTTTTATAAAACCCAAGGACTAGTTTTATAAAACTCAAAGTCATTTATGGAACTCGTAGACTGTTTTATAAAACTCGAAGATCGTTCTATAAAACTCGAGAATCGTTTTATAAAACTCGAGAATCGTTTTATAAAACTCGAGAGATCAGTTTATAAAACTCGAGAGATCGTTTTATAAAACTCGAGAGATCGTTTTATGAAAGCTCGAAGATCGTTTTATAAAACTCGAGAGATCGTTTTATAAAACTCGAGAGATCGTTTTATAAAACCCGAAGATCGTTTTATAAAACTCGAAGATCGTTCTATAAAACTCGAGAGATCGTTCTATAAAGCTCGAAGATCGTTTTATAAAACTCTAGAGATCGTTTTATAAAACTCGAAGATCGTTTTATAAAACTCGAGAGATCGTTTTATAAAACTCGAGAGATCGTTTTATAAAACCCGAAGATCGTTTTATAAAACTCGAAGATCGTTTTATAAAACTCGAGAGATCGTTCTATAAAGCTCGAAGATCATTTTATAAAACTCTAGAGATCGTTTTATAAAACTCGAAGATCGTTTTATAAAACTCGAAGATCGTTTTATAAAACTCGAGAGATCGTTTTATAAAACTCGAGAGATCGTTTTATAAAACTCGAAGATCATTTTAGAAAACTCGAGAGATCGTTTTATAAAACTCGAAGATCGTTTTATAAAACTCGAAGATCGTTTTATAAAACTCGAGAACTCGTTTTGCAAAACCGCGAAAAACTGAAACCGCCGCAGAACGCGAACTAGTCACGACTAGCTCGCCTGCTGGCGAACTAAGCCGAGCCGGCTTAGTTCGCCAGCAGGCGAACTAGGAGCTTCTCCACTAGTTCGCCAGCAGGCGAACTAGGAGTCCCTCGACTAGTTCACCTGCTGGCGAACTAAGCCAAGCCGGCTTAGTTCGCCAGCAGGCGAACTACTGACTTCGCCCCACTAGTTCGCCTGCTGGCGAACTAAGCCGGCCCGGCTTAGTTCGCCAGCAGGCGAACTACTGACTTCGCCCCACAGGTTTTTATCACCTAGTTCGCCATATGGCGACCTGGCCAAGCTGAACTAGCTCGCCGTACGTCGAGCCGACCATCCCGAGCCTCGAT